AGACTGCGACCATACCCGAGGCCACAACATCTTGGTCTTCACATCTTCAATTAAAAGTTTAATTTTCCCACACTAATATGCGTAGACCTAACATGTGGCGTGATGGGTAACGCGTCGAGATTGTGCGCAGCATTATGACGGCTCGAGTCCCGCTTGGGGTGCCGATGAGACCTGTTGAGGAGAGATCGAAGCTGCAGACCACTTCAGACTGGAGGGAAATGACTATTGGGAAAAAATGGAGGCGTAATTGAAGATCTCAAGACCAAGCTGGTGTAACCTCTAGAATGGTCGTAGTCTCCTTTCGATGTATAGAAGTTGGTTGACCTCGTTGTCGCAACTTGGCCCTGTTGTCAGGGCGACTTAATAGAACGCAGCTGGTCCGAAGTCGTCTGCCATAGTAGTTGTCATGATTCCCAGCATTAGACAAGGGACTTGGTAGATTCTTAAACGTTTCATCATCAGAGAGTTTTGTCATTCTTCGCACCAAGCTACGTCGGTAAGGGATTCTTCTAAACCCAACTATTCTTCAAGTATATACATATATAATTGTATATATATATTTATTTATTTATTTATTTTAAAAAAAAATATATATATATATACTCGTCGAAGGGACGAGTGAAGTCCATTGCTTCCACCAACGTTCTGCCGAAAACATTTACACTATCAATCCCCTTTCTGTCCTGGCCTATCTATCTAGTCTTCTCCCTCTTATCAAACTCCCGCTCTATCACAACTTCTCACTTGTTTACATTCCACTCGTTCAAATGTGTACCCTTCAATGGCAAATCAAGTGTAGCCTCATCACACCTGGCCTCATTCACCCGACCCCTTCTCTTTCGATCGGCTAATCCGACACGGGTCTCCAATCCTGATCCCTTCATTGTCTCGTAGATCCGTTCCTTATCTTTCTGGTTGACCGATTTCACTCGGTTCCAGTCGCAGTGTGCATTTCACTCCAGGCGCGATTTCTCAGGGTCCTAGAAGCACGTAGACTGCAGTGAAGCGCTTAAGCTCTGATTCCCATGCCTGCAGATATCAGGCCTTCCCTAAACTGGTCGTCTCCTTGATTAAACCCATGTTATCTGAGCCAACTGTGGACGCCTATCTCTGGCGGCATGCGGTATCTCAAGTGGATTTCTATTACATTTTGGGCATAACGCCGAATTTCTGTGATGGTTTGCTTGTCCGTCGGCCCAACTCCCTGACTGCCAGGCCCCCAAAGTTGTACGTGTTTGTGCAAAACGGACATCACTCACTGACAACATCTTCGCTTGATTGCCGAAACTGCCCACCCCCCAATCTCCTCATTGCGATCCCTTTTCCTCCGGATAACGAAAGATCGCTGATCCAGGCGTCGCCTTTCTGCTGGTCTTGCTCCATTCTTGTTTTCCCCGAGTTTGCTTAGTCAGTAGGCAAAGTTATAGCCAACTCTACCTTCCTCCAATCTCCTGTTTATTAGATTTTTC